TTGTGTATAGGAGAAGGATGATCATAGCTCACATAATTGGAGGTAGGGTACATTGTATCTGAAGGATCTGAAATGGTGGGACATACATAATGTACTGCCTAGATTGGTGGTCAAGTCTGGCGAGTATGTGTGTGCATAGGAATAATTGGAGCCAGAACAGGGGGATCTTGGTGGAGAAATAGGACTAGGGATATGAATAGGTGAATCTACTATAGTATTATCAGTGGTTAATGTGTCAGAGTCAATAGTAGGAGTGTTGGGCTGAGAAACCAATGGATTAGGTATCATAGTGAACAAAGGATCTTAAAGAGTATCAGTGTCAGGGAACAACTTGGGTGATGGTGGTGGAACAGTATCCTCTGTGGCAAATAGAAAGATGCCTTCATGAAACACAACATCTCCGGAGATCAAAAACTTGTTTGCAACTAGATCATATAGCCTGTAACCTTTTTGAAGCATAGGTTATCCCATAAAAATACAGCGGGTGGCTTGGGTACCAAACTTATCATGTGATCTAAGAGTGGCAGCATAACAAAGATATCCAAAGACTCGAAGATGATCTAAAGGTCGTTGTTTCTTGAATAATACCTCATAAGGGGTCTTTCCATGAACAACTCTGATTGGCATTTGGTTAATCAGGTAGGTAGCAGTGATCACACATTCACTCCAAAAAGAGATGGGTAGGTGGACTTGGTGTTTGAGGGCATAGGCTACTTCTAGGAGATGACCTATTTTCTTTCGACAACCTTTTTTTTTTATGGAGTATACATGCAAGAGCTTTCATGCAGGATGCCAAGTGATGAAAAAAGAGATGAACAATTATGATTTAAAAAATCTCTTGCATTGCCGGTTCCAACCCTTTGGACGGAAGTACAAAATTGTGCGGTGACCATGGCCAGGAAATGTGCGATATGGGTAAGTGTTTAGGTTTTGGATTGCATGAAGAATGTCCATGTACCTCGGGAAAAGTCATCGACAATGGTGAGGAAAAATCTGGATCCATCATGGTTCGAAATATCAAGATGGATCAAAGCAAAAGGTTGGGTTGTAGTGGAAGTGCTATGTGGAAAAGTAATGCGGGCCTGCTAAGCTAATGGACATATGGGACAATGAGGTTGAGGAATAATTGCACTGTGACCTAATCTTTGATGAAGAGTAAAAGAGTTTTTATTAATCATTGCATTACAATTGGTAATTTTATTGGTTGTAATACAAGGATGAAAAATTCTAGAAGACTTAACAGGTGTCCAGTAGTATAAACCTCTATGGACCTTACCCAAGCTCACCAATTTCCCAATCAAAGGGTCCTAGAATTCATATGTGTTAGGACAAAATTTGACAATGCAACTATTGTCTTCACAAAGTTTGGAGACTGAGATGAGGTTACAAGGAAAAGCAGGGACACATAGTACATTTTTAAGGAATAAATTTTCAAATAATTGGACGGTCCCTATGTGAGTGGCCGATGTTATGTTCCCATTCAGCATGCGAACGGAGGTGGATGAGGTAGTGGAAATAGTGTTGAAAAATTTAGGGTGACAAATGATGTGATCACTAGCCCCTGAATCAATAATCCACATTTCAGTAGTAATTAAATTGAAGCAGTAAAAAGTACCTACATAAGATGTTGTGGGTGCAGTGGAAGCATTATTCAGAAGCTAGAGCAATTGATTGCATTGATCCGGATTGAGAGCAAGTGCTTGTTGATTTCCAAAAGGAAGAAAGTCAACCTGGAAAGAAGAAGAATTACCATTTTTGTCCTTGTTGTTGGAATCAGGACGGCCATGTAATTTCCAGCAATGGTCCCGATCATGGTTTCTTCTCTTGCAATAGTCACAATAGAATTGCCCTCGATTAGGTCGTGAATTTCCAAACCCATTGGACTCGTTTCTGGATCCATTTAACAAAAAGTTGGGCCCATTTGACCAGCCTATTGATCGGTTTGACCCTTGTTGTGATGTGGCTCGATTTGAGCCGTTAGATGCGTTTAAAAACACAATGAGCTTCTGACCATTAGATCACAAGATTGAATCTAGGTCGTTCATCTCTGCATATAAATTAGCCCCTTTCTTTTTTTTAGTTTGTCTTAGTTGCGAGCTCCCACCGCCATTGTCTTTAATACCTGCAAAAGCAATTGGGTTAGTGGATGGCTAATAGGAGTTCAACTGGCGTTGGCTCTCATCTTGCACCTCCAGTTGAAAACTCTGGCAAAGAGTGGGTGCTGGAGACGTGGCAAGGATCTATGTTTGGAAAGCGTAAAAGCTTTTGTTCAAACCGAGCAAAAAGTGCGACAATTAGTCACGATCTCGGATCCTTCGGTATTGGTGGAGAGTTTCTGGCAACCTTTCAAGTGTTTCCTTAGCGGCGTCCAACTCATTCCAAACGGCAGAGAGCCGATTGAAATAGGTTGTCACCGAAGTATTCCCTTGCTTTAGCTTGATTAGCCGTTACTGGAAAGTGTATGTTTTAGCGAGATCGAGCTTCCCATACATCTCCTTGATGTTGGCCTAGATCTCGGTAGCCATTTCTGTCGATGGGAGCCCTGCCCATACTTCTGTAGAGAGGCAATTGTTGATCCATGACCAAACCAACATATTGCATCTACCGTAGTGGCATTGAAGGTGTGGTTGTGGTGGTTGTTGGAAGGATATGTCGAGGAAGGGATCTTTGTCTTTTGTGATGAGGGCTCGCAGGAAATCGCGAGCCTAGGAGGCATAATTATTAGAACTCGTAAGGGTTTGTTTGATGAGGACCAATTTTGGTCCATCGAAAATCGGTGAGAAGAGGATGTCGCCTGATTCAGGGCAACTATTGCCGGTGGCTGGGATGATGCGAAAATGGTACAGGTAGGGATTAACATTTGGATCCGAACCCGTTTGAGGAAAGGAGTCTGGGTTGTGACCCGGTATTCCAAAAGGGGATGGGTTAGGCCCGGTGTGGGTAAAAGAATCCGGGTCATAACCTGACATTCCATATGTGTAACGGACATTTATACAAATTTTGTAAATGTAGAAATGAAAAATAATAAACACAAATAAATGTAATTATTTAATCAATCACATAAATTAGGGATTGATTGAATGCCAAAATCATTCCTTGATCTCAACCAGCACAAACCAAGGAAAAGTTGTAAAGAATTTGTGCATTCTAGGGCTGTAAACGAACCGAGCTGTTCGTGAACAGCTCGATGTTTGTTCGATAATTGTTCGATTCAACTCGATAACATACTGTTCGCTAACAAGTCGATGTTCGTTCGATAATATGTTCGATTCGAGTTTGAACATAGGATGCTCGTTCAATTATATTCGCGAACATACTGAGTTCGACTGATCCATCTGTTCGCGAACAATCTGTTCGATTATTTGTTCGTTTATGTTCGAAAAACATGGTATACATTATTATATATATTTATATTTTTTTCATTCTTATATTATGTTTGGTTTAGTTTGGATGAATTTTTTTTAATGGTAATCAATAATAAAATATTATGATGCTTTTGTTTTTCTTATATATATAATATGTTTGGATTTTTTTTTTCAAATGTCATCAATAATTAAATATATAAGTATATAACATTTTAATTAAAAAATAATAAATTATTATGATACATAGCATAACAAATTTAATAACATAATATATTGTATACTCAAGTGATATATAACATAACAAATCTAATAACATAATAGCTTCATATTTTTCCAAATGTAATCAATAATTAAATATTATGAGATAACATTTCAATTAATAAATAATAAATGTAGTATGGTAAATTGATGAACATAACATATTGTATAATCAAGTGATGTATAGCATGAAAAATTTAATAACATAATAGCTTAATTAAATATAGAATGGTAAATTGCTGAACATAACATATTGTATAATCAAGTGATATATAGCATGACAAATTTAATAATGTAATAGCTTAATTAAATATAGTATGACAAATTTATGAACATAACACATTGTATAATCAAGTGATATATAACATAACAAATTTAATAACATAATAGCTTAATTAAACCTTAATTAATCACACATTTGTATTGATCACACATTACAATAGACCATCATACCGCTATGAATTTATAGATGTTGATACAAAATATATATGTAGACAGTAATGATAATATATATATGATAACCTATGATTTTGATAATTTAATAACATATTAAATATATTTAATCTATGATTAATATATATATGATAATAATTTTGTGTGTGTGTGTAGATATATATAACAAATTAATCACTGTATTGATCATTTATTACAATAGACCTCATTCTACTATGAATTAATGGGTGTTGATACAAAATATATATATAGACATTTAAAATAGTTATGATAATTTATGTAATAATAATATATATATATATGATAACCTATAATTTTGGTAATTTAATAATATATTAAACATATTTAAACTATGATTAATATATATATATATCCAAATAACCAACGAACTAACCCGGCTCACCCAAATTTTAAAACAAAAATCCAAACCCAATTCCACATTTTCCCTTACCCAGCCCAAAATCCAAATCCAATTCAGTCACAGTCTTAATTTGGTTAATTAAACAAACTCGAACAATCTTAAGTTATTCGAACGAGTTATTCGAAAAGATATTTACAAGTTATTTGAACGAGTTAATCGAACAATCACGAATTGCTCGTTTAGTCAATCGAACGAACTCAAACAACTATTTTGTGTTCGTTTGAGTTCGAACACCCCTTTATGCTTATCGAATGAGTTTCGAACGGAGCACTCATTTGTGTTCGATTAGTTTGCAGGCCTAGTGCATTCCATATTTCGTCAGATTGTAATAATAACCTCTTGAATAAACTAACCGTCAAACCATAAAATTCCTCGACGTTTCCATTCCACGTCTACCGCACTAGCCACCCAAAAACACCCCACATAATTCTCTCTCAATATTCCATTATTTATACTCACTGTGTTTTGGCTTTCAGAATTCAGTGCTGATCATGAAATCTAACATGAAAACTTGCGTTGTGGCTTTGTTCTTGGTGGTGTTGGTGGGTTCAAAGGGTTTTGTTGATGGGGCTGGAGAGTGTGGGAAGACTCCAATTAGGTCAGTGGCGACTAGCTTGAGCCCGTGTTTGAGCGCGGCTGGAAATGCAAGGGCTAAGGTTCCGCCACTCTGTTGCTCAAAAGTTGGTGCGATGACCAAGACTGCACCAAAATGTCTTTGTGCCGTTATGTTGTCGCCTTTTGCTAAGCAGGCTGGAATTAACCCTGCCATTGCTATTACAATCCCCAAACGATGCAACATTAAGAAGAGGCCCGCCGGGAAGAAGTGTGGAAGTAAGTAATTCAAAGCTAGCTTTCCCATTTTATGTTTTCATTTTTCTGGCTAGTTGAACAAGCATTATTAAGGCAAAACCCAATTGATTAATCATTTTATATATTTATTTTTTAAATGTTAGTTTTCTCAATGCTTTTTATCTTGTGATTTTTCTTTTTTCTTGTATAGGACATTGCCATAATGCCATTGGTCAAGTGTCATTTCAATGACTAAGCTTTCTCATTTTTTCTTGGGGAAACGACTTACACCTACCCAGAAACGAACGATTGGTACCCAAAAGGTTTCAAAATGACAAACAGGTACCTTCCGTTAGTGAAAAGACTAGAATGCCCTTTGAGAAATATTAGTCTATTTTTTAATTACTTTTAGACTCCTTAAGTTTATTAATTCCATCAAATACCCCCAGAAACAAAGTTTAAAAATTAACAAAAATACCCCCACCCACCCATACTTGCCAGATTCTGGCGGCCACCATCGGTGGTAGTCGGAATCAACGGTCTACGCCACCACCGTAAATGGCTGGTAATTCATAGATCTGGCCGAAAAAGGCCAGATCTGAAGTGAAAAGGTCAGATCTGGCCGGAAACTGACGGCCAAAGAAATTGTCGTTGCTGTCTGTCAACGATGGCCATTTCTTTGGCCGTCAGTTTCCAGCCAGATCTGTGAATTACCAGCCATTTACGGTGGTGTGGCATAGACCGTTGTGACAGATTCCGGCGGTGGCCGCCGGAATCTGGCAAGTATGGGTGGGTGAGGGTATTTTTGTTAATTTTTAAACTTTTTTTCTAGGGGTATTTGATAGAATTAATAAACTTAAGGGGTCTAAAAGTAATTAAAAAATAGACTAATACTTCTCAAAAGACATTCTAGTCTTTTCACTAACAAAAGGTACCTGTTTGTCGTTTTGAAACCTTTTAGGTACCAATAATCGTTTCGCCAAACCTTAGGTGGGTATAAGTCCTTCGGCCTTTTTTCTTAAGTACCCAATTGAATAAAATCAATGTGCCAAACGCATTAGTGAAAAATTTCTAATGCATTAATGATTGCCAAAAAGAATAGGCATTCCTGCTTTTTGTTATTTAAGCAATAAATTTTTCTCTGGATGAGTTTCTTATCTAGAATAGCATTAGAGATATATAAACTTCTAAGTGTAACAAAGCCATTGATTTGAAAAAAATATATATTCAATTTTAACCTTGTGTCTCAATATATAATTAATTTTGAATTTTGAATTTGATTTTGCAGGGTACACCGTCCCATGAGAGGAGAATCAAAATAGAGTAATCCAACAGTAGAGAAAAGTAATAACACATAAGGGTGCATTTAGTTCAGGGAATATTATATTACTAAGGAATGTTATATTACTAGAAAGATAGATTATCAGAGAATCTTTAGAGGAATGTGTTTGATTGGTTAGAATAAATTGGTGGGTATGTTATAATAATATGTTTGGTTGGGATGATAAATGAGTGGGTATGTTATGTAGATTACTGAATTACCCTCCTTTTTAAATAATAGTATAATATTATTTTTTAAATTATTTCTTTTAACCTCTTATATTTGAAATTTTGCTAAAACACCCCAACCATATAAAACTTTAATTTGTAGAAAAATCATCTCCACCCACCCCAAGCCACCGCTAGCAGCCGCCGTAATGGCGCACGATCGGTCGGATCTGGCTGGTTGTGCGCCAGTAAGGCCTAATCCAACGATCCATGGCTAAAAACGGCTATATATAGCCATGAATATAGCCATGAACGTGAAACGGCTATAGATCTAGCCGTGAAATGGCCAAATATATGGCTTTTCATGGCCAGATCTATGGCATTTCACAGCCACATCTTTTGCCGTAAAACGGCCAAATCTGGTTGTTTCCAGCCATGGATCACAAATCCAAGGCCGGAAACTTCCTTACCGGCACAGGACCGCCAAGATCTTGCCAGTCTTGTGCCGATATGTTGACTTTCGCTTGCGGCCAGCGATGGTGGCTAGCGGCTGGCGATGGTCTTGTGTGGTTGGGGGTATTTTGTTAACTTTTAAACTTTTTTGTGGTTGAGGTGTTTTAGCTAAATTCTCAAATGTAAGGGGTCTGTGTAATTTTTATTTGGTAGACATACGAGGGAAAATGTGTCCAAAATGATAAAAGGTTAAGGGCAAAATAGGGTCAAAATTAAGATTACCTTAGTAATCTTATATTAACACCCCTTAGGAAGGTAATCTGATTACGTAATATTTGTAACAGTAAACACTATTTGTAATAAAATATTACGTAATATTTTTATTATTTAACAACCAAACAAGGGAATCTTTAAAATAAAACAAAGATTACAAGATTATCTTATATCACCTCGAACCAAACGCAACCACAATATTATGACATGAGGTGGTGATAGATAGGAAGTGATAAATAAAATTGGCATTGAGGTCACTTGACCCATTCGGCCAGTAGTTGTTTCATGCTTTTTGTTGGCTTATGTAAGAGTTTGCAGTTAATTTAAATATTGTTCTTGTGTTTAATCTTCTTCTTCCTCCTTTGCAATTTTCTTTCGCATTTTGATAGTTTTTCATAAATGTCTTGACTTATGAACGCTTCAACAATATGATACTTGTGATGTATTTTATATTTTTAAAAAATAAACATGAAGCGAGGGTTTTTTTATATTAAAAAAATAATCTAAAAAGGATAGTAATTAACAGAAGCAGTTGGGTCAAACATATCTCTACCAACTTATTGTTTCAAACTTCTTAATGATGAGTTAAAAGTAATCCATTTTAATTAGTCCAATTTATCCCCCATTTTGTAATGTTGCATGATAGACAACACTTTCATTCAAACTAAATTTCTATGTTTATGGTATAAAAACAACTTAAAACAGTCTTATTCTAATTATTACAGCAATCCAATCATAACGCCAAAAAGTAAACTGTAATAAGAAAAAAAAAAAAAAATGACAATCCCAGAAAGTAGAATTGTTATTGAGATTGTAAAGAAGCGTTGAACAAACCAAGAAACCAATTTGATGGTGTTAAAACTGTAACACCAAAGAGAATTTAGTTGCTTATGCTTGTCAGGTACGTTAAATTAAGGAGAATCAAGAAGACCATAAAAGAAAATAAGGCAAGTTGATGATCATGCAAGAAAACGCACATCAATAAAATTATTAATCTTCTTGAAATTGATCTTTCTTACAGTTGGATCAAATTATAAATTCATTCAAATTAAGTTGCAATGGAGTTTCAGAATTTTAGCCACAGTTATTTTCGATGGAATCTCGTAACCTCAATTGATATCCATTATCTTCTATAGGAATGAGCTCGAGGGTAGTTTTTTCTAACCCCTTTATTCATTCGGTCCCCAAATGAATTTTCTGGCTTCGTCCCTGGCTTGCTTCTTTTGTCATTCAAATCTCTTCAACTTTTTAGTTTGTTTCTTTAGGATATATAATCCTCTAGAAAGGTGTTTATCTCATATGTTTTTAATTCTTTCTTTCCTTTTTATAATTTATTGAGCTTGTCTCCAAGATCCAATCGAGCAATTGTATTTAATTATCGTATTATATTTGTGATGATAATCTTCGTTCCTACTAGCAATATTTTTTCTCTTCTTTCCCTTTCTCTATATCATTGTTTTGGTATAAAAATTAAAATTGCCTTTTTAATTAAAACAAAATTTAATGAAATAAATAAACCCCAGATAAAGTAGACCACGAAAAAGCCCGGGCCGTCTGGAGTGGCTCCAATCTGGCCACGCTGGGCCCGATCCAGGCCAGCGCGGGCCTTTTCACATGAGGCAGTGTAATTGATCTGTACGTATACAGAAGAAAAATTTCACATGAGACAATTATAAATAGTTATTATTTTGATGGGCCAGGCTTATTTTGACTAATAGAGAGTTATTAAGCCCAAACTTGTTAAACTATTGTCAAGTCTATATTTGTTTATCTAACCCATCAACTTCAACATCTTTGCATCATTTAAGTATTGCATTATCACTATATTTATGCATAATTATTATTTAATTTTTTAATTACAATCTCAGATAAATAAGTGATAAAATTATCTATTATTATTAATTATCCTTTTTTATAATATTATTAATTAGGTCTTTTATTAGTTTATCAAATTTTCTCCATGAAAACTTAAAAGGAACTTACAAACATAAATTCTCATTGAATTGCATTGCATTTGAAATAGTGTTTATCACACATCATATTCATCTGTAATTCACTTGTTTTAGTATTTATGAACACTGTTGATTGATTATGGTTTCATTATTCATGAATTATACTATCCACTTAATTTTTTATTGTTCACATTTCTGCATTTATTTCATGATAGTAACATCATTAATAATCATTTGTATACCATGAGCTTGATTCAATTGGCTATCTACATAAATACTTTCAACGTGTGCTCTCACTCATATACAATCTTCTAAACATTTCGAACATGTTAAACTTATATCATAACAAACCTATGACTAGCCTACTTTACAATAATTAAACATAAAGGAAGCTAGCAGACACCATTGAAAGAACACTAAGGTTAGCATTACAAACACGTCAAAATGATAATTCTACATTCTTTTTACAAACAAGTCTTAGTCTCTAAAGCTATGTTTTTTATCGTTTAACACAAAGAGATTATACAAATAATAACAAAAATTCTCATTTTAAAATACATGACTTTACTTGAATGCTAAATTCCAATCTTAAGGGAGAGTAATGAGTTATTTTATTCTATTAAGATGGTTGTTGTAGATAAGAAAATAAAGAAGAGGGGTTTTAAAAGAAATGGGATTTTTTTTTTTTTTTTATTAATATATTAAAAGTTTGAGTTATTGGTTGAGTATAAGGTAACCAAAACAACATATTACCAACGTTGTTATTCCTAAACAGGATCGATGTAGGAACTTGGAAAGTCTATTAGTTTTCCTTTTTTTCTAAGATTATTTCTATTTTAATTAGGAATCTAAGTTGCTTTCCTATTTTAATTAAGAGTCCAGTTATTTTAGGAATTATTTAAGTTATTTTTCTTATTTTATAATTACATAAATAATTAAAGCCGACAAAGTTGAGGCAAATGAGACTAACAACAGAGGAATTTAAAGCTCAAAATTTGCTAGTTTATAATGTTCAAGTTTGACCAAAGAATTACGGTAAAGAAATACAAAAAAATATTGTTTGAATCTTATTCCCTCTTAACTACGAAAATTTAAGATTAATAAAAACTTTAGATAAAATTGAAATTATACCTTCAAAAGATTAATTCATCTAAACCAAAATAAAAAGGTCATACAATATTATTTATCTTGAAATTAAATTTAATAAATTATCAATTCTAAATAAAAAGCAACAAAAATCTAGCTATTGCTTTTCAAAATTTAAATAACTGATTTATGTTTAGAAATACAATTTTAACATACAATCATACAAATATTCAATTCCAATAATGATTCAAAACATTAAAAATCCTCTTTTTACAAATAATTTAGGCTGCGCTTGGTACACTACTCTCACCCTATCTTACTTCACTATCCTATCCTAAAAAATGAAAAATACGTTTGTTGTAATATTCTTCAAAATTCAATCTTATTCTATTCAACTCAAAACATTTAACAGTTAATTTTCACAATAAAAGTTTATAGATTAACAAAAACGCCCCCACCCACCCAAGCCACAATCACTCGCCAACAGCCGCTGCTGGAACGACTCACAACTAGCTAGATCTGGCCGGTTGTGCGCCGATCTTGCCTTTTCTGACAAGATGCACTATGGATCAAGCTATTGACGACGATCATATCTTGACTGTCAACAACGACCAATTTTTGGCTGTAGATCTGGCCAAAAAAGGCAAGATTGGTGCACGATCGGCCAAATCCAACCGATCGTGTGCCATTCCAGTGACTGATGGCCACCATTTGGCGGTGATGGCGAGAAGTCGATTGGGTGGGTGGGGGTGGGGGTGGGAGTGTTTTTGTTAATTTATAAACTTTTATTATTGGGGGGTTTTTAGCTAAATTAATAAATGTAGGGGGTTAAAAAGTAATCTAAATATTTTCAGAAAATGTTTTTCAATAATGTACCAAACACATTCTCAAAATCCTATCCTAAAATGTATTCTAAATAGGGTTTTACAAATGCTATTAAAAAAAAGTGTACCAAACGCAGCCTTATTCTCCCCTTTCGATGTTGATGTTTTAAGTTTCATGAGAATAGCCGCGAATTCATCTGCCCCTCACTCTCACTCCCACTCTCATTCCCTTCTTTCTGTTATTCACTTTTCCCACAATTACCACGTCATCC